CGCTATTTCCTGACGGTTTGACCCACTGAGAGAATCGTGTTTCTTGAGAGCTTGCCTATTAGGTATGGTAGAAACTTTTATTTAGATAACAACATGTATTGACTATTCCATGTGGCAGGTCCTATTCTATAAGCCCTGAGAATACAGAGATGACTAAGACACAAGTCCCATCTCCTAGCACTCTCCTTTTAAGGGCAGGAGGGAGTTTGATGGCATGGGCAGGGAGAAGCAGACTGGTAAAAATGTAATTCCTGCAGTAATGGTAAGTACTTTATAGAGACATGGCCAGGGGACCATGAGAGCTCAGAGGGAGGGAAGTGGGGAGAGAGGGACTGCTCTGGGAGGCAGGAGCAGTTGGTATTTTGGGCCAAGTCTCTAGGGGGTCAGATAGAGGCACAGGCACTCTCAAAGCTGGAGCAGTTGATTCCAAAGCTTTCAGAGCTCAGTCCAAGTTCAGAGGAGCCAATGGAAGAGTCAGAGTGTGTGACTGCAGCCTCAGCTCTGACTCCCACATGCAGGCTTTCCTCCTTGCAATCCACTGCCTGCCGCACCCCACTCACCCCCTGAAAACCGGTCTGTTTTATCTTTCATTCTTTTAAAACCACTCAGTTGCTACCAACTATCTACTCTTTACTTCACCTGCCAACCTGGCCCTCATTTGCCCCTCCCTTACCAACACTCTAGTCTTGCTAGGCTGCCCACCGTTGCCTCCAGGAGGCAGCATGATGCCATGGAAAGAAGCAGATGAAGTGATGGCTCTGCAATGGAGGCCTGCATTTGAATCTCAGCTGTCCCTCAGTAGCTCTGAGATCTTGAGCAAGTCACTAACCCTTTGCCCCTCAGTAGTAATCTGTACAATGAGTATAATCATAACCTCATGATGGTGAGGCCTTAATGAGTCACCGTGCAAGTGCAGGGTGAGCAGCAGGCTCTTTCTCTGGACCCGCTCTCCTTTCTTCCAAACCCACCCAAGTTCTACCTGTCCTTGTGGCACCAGGAGAAGCCGCCTCCTCTCCCTCCAGGAGTTTTCTCTTTATAGAACTACGGCAACCCAGAGCCACCTCTGGCCCTCACCAGTCTTCCCTGCAGATGTCTTCGATCTGGTGGAAGAGGACAGATCCCTGTCCCACAGTGGCTCCCCACCTGGACCAATGTGATCACTCACCTACATCTCTATGGGGCACAGGCAGGAATCTCAGTCTCCTTGGAAAGGGAAAGCTTTTCTGTCCTCGGTACTCCTGCAGGAGAGCTTCGGCCTTAAGGCCTCAGAGATATATTTGTTCACAGAGCACAGTTAGTCCCAGCCACAGACCTCTCCTTAAACCCCATCCTCCAGGGGAAGAAGGAGCAGCCCAAGTATATCCTCTTCTCTCCTGCAAGAGAAGGCCAGGAACAAAGATGATGTCTCAGGTTATGTAAGAAATGCTTTGCTTCCTGCATCTTTTCTAAATGACTGTATGCTCCTCGAGGTGATGTTTGAGCATCCCGGGGTGTGTGTGTAGGAGGTCTGCATGGCCTGAGGCCAGAAAGCTGAGCCAGGTGAACAAGTGTCCCTCCTCCTTCCATCCCCGAAATGAACCAGAAATGCTAAGACTACAAGAATCAAGTCCCAGGCTGGGTGAAACAATGCAGAAACCGAGATGTCATGGGGTCCTCCATTGCACCAAAGAGAAGAGATAATAAAAGAAAACAACTCTGCTATCCTTTTCCTTTAGTACCATTTTACAGAGCATCTACCATTAACTGCTTAGAAGAAGAAATGCACTTTATGGAAAAGAAGCAACGAGAGACAGATGCAGGAGAGAGCACAGTGGTTTTTTTTAATAATTATTTTTATAAATTTCACGATCATCTCAAACTTACAAAAAAGTTGCAAATAACGTAGAAAGAACACTCTTTTCCCCTAAACCATTTGAGAGTAGACTGACATGGTGCCCCATCTAGACACGTCAGTGTGTCTTCAGCACAAATAAGGACAGTCTCCTACTTCTCCACAATACAACCACTGACCTCAGAGTTAACATCCATCTCTTACTCCCAGCTAATCGTCAGACCCCATTCAAGTTGCACAAATTGTCTCAACAATGTTTTTTATAACAAAAACATCTAATCCAGAATCAGGTGTTGCATTAAGTTGTCATATCTCCGTAGTCTCCTTTAATCTAGAATTAAATTTAGTTTTTAATATAACGTACGATGAGGAAAAATCAAGCCTTTGGAAGTCACTGGCTCTCTAAAGTTGAGTGGAAAAGTGGATGGCCCTGGCCCCTTGGACATCAGGCCACGAGAGCGATAGGGGGCTGCCTCCGGAGATTCTCTCCTGTGGCCCAGAGCAGACTGGGAACAGCCGTGGGCACTGGTCATGGCTCCAACTTAGGCTTTTCACTCAGCGTTAGATAACCCCATACGGAGTGAAATCTTTGACAAGGACCATCCATGCTGCTGACTGGGACATAAAGGCAGAAATGCTTCTGGGAAACGGATTTAATCCACTGCTTATCAATTTTAGTCTTTCATTTATGTTTTATCATGATGTTGAATAACAACAATAATTATTGTAGCCAATCTTTATTGAGAAGATACTCTTGGTCTGACATTGTGCTAAATGCTTTAATTTTATCATCCTATTTAATTCTTCCAACAATATGAGGTACACATTATCATTAATCTTATCTTATAAATGGGGACACTGAGGCATGGAGAAATTAGACGAAGCTGCCTAAAAATCACACAGATGGTAAGGCCTCCAGAGTTCACAGACCTTATCACCTCATATACATGCATGGAAACATTTAGTCTTTTGTTTAATTCCTAATGAAATAAAATGAACTTCAATGTCCTGAAATCTGATTCTTTCTTCTCTAACAGAAGCATTGAGAAAGTGGATTTTCAATTTAACACGGAGACTCTGACCTGAGTCTAACTCAGGAGGACTGCTCAGAGGGTACCCTCCTCCTCCAACACAGAGACCAGGCCAGGCAAGGTCATAGTGCTGGTAAAACATTTATTTCGAAAATTCATTTGGTGCTTAGATGATAAACAGGAAATAAGAACCAGTTTACTTTGTCATTTTACTTTTTAAGCTCTGAAAAACCTATAAAATAAGACGATTTTATACATGTGGACTTCAGAAATACAGAGTAACGTTGTAAAATAACGCTGCAAGAAAAGCTGGGGATGTTATTCTGTATTCCAGTAGGCATGATATACTTAGTACATAAGATAACTCAGTACATAACTCAGTACAAGTTATATAAGTGCGTCCAGTTAGTACTCCTGAGCATCTCCTGTATGCAAGGCACTTTAGAGCCATGAGTCCTAGCTTCTAACATCAGATTTCTAGAAGGCATGCCCACGCAAATGCCAAGGAGGACTGTGCATGCAGCTCTGTGCCAACAGCCTTTGTGTCTACCGGCTGGGGCCGAGTACTCCTTGCCTGGAGCTTGGCTTTTCCCCTCTGAGACGTCACTTGCTCTGATGCAGAAGCTATGCCAAAGGATAGTAACTCATTCAACACTCGCCACTGGGTTGGCAGCATATCAGAGCTGAATCTTTCATCAGGGGGTTTTAGGTTTTGAGAGGAAGGACAATATCCCATTGTCCTTAAGGAATGATAATGCCATGAAAGATTTCCTTCAGGAGAAAACTGAATGTTTCTGATCCATCATCAACCATCACTGCAGTCAGTGGAATTTATTGCTTCCTAAAGTCCCAGGATTGAGTCAATTCAGGGAAGGCAGCAATATTGTTAGCCAGCTCCAGGCCAGAGAACATGCTTCTTCTTACTGGACCTCAAGGCGTCCAGAGAAGGTGAATTCACATAATTTAATGGCTTGTTTTGGTCCTTTAGCAAAATAATTTCTTTCCAACTAACAAAACTAATGCAGAAATGGAGAACTCATTTACGGTAATTCTCTATTCAGCAATTAAAAATGCTCTTTCAAAAATTACTAGAAGATTTTCAGAAGAAAAGAGTCATAACATAGCTAAGAACTCTCTCCTCAGTGCCTGGCATGGTACTTGGCTCGTTGCTGGTCCTCGAGTTTTATTGAAAAAAATCACAAAAGGGGCAATTGCACATGGCAGGTACAGACTTGATTTGGGACAGCCCAGAGACTCCCCCTCCTGGCTCTGGAGAAGAGGAGCCTGCAGGGAGCTTACAGCCCAGCAGGCTAAGGCTCAGACAGAGCTTGCTGGCTATCTGGTGGTGGGAGGCATAGTCAGGATCCTTCAACAACTCTTACCTCGTTGACCAGAGGAATGTCTGGCAAACTTTATTCTCTGCCTAATGCAGGTAGATCAGGAAGTCACACTTCTCAGAGATGGAGACAAGCGGTACCTCCCCTGATGTTGGCTCTGCTTGGGCCTGTGCCACTGGTGGCCAGAAAAAAGGCTGACTTGGTGGTTTGTGACATGCTGCAAGGTAGTAACAAGTGGGTCTGCAGGCTGTCCTGGGATCCAGTCTGATTCTGATGATCTCAGCCCAGACCTGTGCAAAGTTAGCCTGGGCTGATCTTCAGCTTGTGTCCTTAAGGGAGACCCAGGTCCACTGCCAAGATCCACTGCTCATCACTTCCTGCTACTGAAACATGAGTGCATCCTTCTCTTGATCTCATACACTTCACATATCTGACTAGATACACTTAATATTCACTGATCTCTTCTACATTTTCTAGTAGGTGTTTCATAATGTCCTCTAGGAGAGCATATTCTACTAAATTTGGACTTCCTTTTGTCTGCAAGGAACCTACCTATCAGAATAAACTGTATGGTGCCATTGGGCATCTCATGCAAACATAAGAGCCCCTGTTTAGATCACTGTGTTCCCTGAGTCTTGGACAATGTGTTGTTAAATCTGTGGAATAGTTCATTACCTGTGTTTTCTTCAGCCTGTAGCATGGGGAGCTGGGATCTTGGAGTGTTTAACCTAAGAGGTTCTCACTTTTTTCTCTTCTAATATCAAATATTAAAATTAAACATTTACCTACTAAGCATACTATTATACACACTGCCTCTATGTACTGCCTCTATGTACGGACACTAGCTGTCCGTGCTTGTTTCCTTGTGTCAGTATTTATATTTTGGACAGATCATCCTTTAGCCAGTCAGCTACCATGTCAGCCATTTCCTGGTGAAAACCTAAGATAAATGCATGAGGTAATTTTTTCTCACAGAGCCGAATATCTCCTTCTGGAAAATCTTTCTTCATGTCTTCATAATACTCTTTTGGACACCAGGCATCTACAGTACCATAGTAAAATGTAAGCTAAAAGACAAGACAAAAACATTTTATTAGAAAACGCTTTCCCCTCCCAGCACAGCTATGACACCAGCAACCTGCAATGTTTTGAAAACAGCCCCTGTAAGCTAGTCCCAAGGCTCCCTCTGGAGAGTGGCTCTCTCAAGGCAGTGAGCCTTCATGATTTATGGGAGTGAATTAAGAGAAATCGGATGGAAAGAAACCCATGTAGGGAGGGCCTTGTGTGACAGACCACCCATGATTCACTAAAACGATTCACCAGCAAAGTTGTGTATATCGAGGTTAGGATGGAGACTGGAGAGATGGCAGATGAGGACAAGGAAGAGTTATTGAGACAATCCCTGAGTGACCAGTGACCATTTATTACACACTTAATAGTTTTCATACAGCCACATGGTAGGCATAAGGGACACGTTTGTTGAACGCATGCAAAGATGAATCAGACACTCAGGCCTCTTAATGTAGCAGATGAAATGTGATCAGAACCCTGAGAATGTCTGTGGACATTCCATGAATAGGCTCCATGCAGCAGGCGAGTATGTTGATTCAGTGAGAGGAGTTATAATCACACTTCAGGTGACAGCTGTCAGGCTAGATGGAGACAGAGCCTCCTTTGAGGCATTAGTAAGACCCTATCTGGATATTGATTTATACCTGCCCATGATACACACATACACACGTTCATGCATATACCTATATGTATACATGTATATATGTGTATATACACATACAAATATGTATATATATGTACACATGTGTATATATGTATGAGTATATACATATGTATATGTAAATATGTATGTGTGTATTGTGTATTTTTGTATACACACATACATTTATAAATGAATATAGACGTGTCATATATATAAACAAATATATATGTGTGTACATATACAGTCATGAGTCACTTAACGACAGGGATACATTCTGAGAAATGCAATGTTAGGCGATTTCATCATCGTGTGAACATCATAGTGTGTACTTACACAGACCTAGATGGTATGGCCTACTACACACATAGGCTATGTGGTACTAATCTTACGGGACACCGTCGTATATGCAGTCTGTCATTGACTGAAATGTCTTTATGCAGTGCATGACTGTATATTTATATATACATGTCTTTATAAGGTGCATGACTGTATATATACATATATATATGTCTAGCTCTAGGCTGCTGTTCTTCAAGGCAAAAAAAGAGTGAAATTTTATTCAGAAGGGTATGTAGTGGTACATCTACAAAAAATAAGAACTAAGTTTTAAGGACCCTATGACCTCTGTTATCACTGGAAAAAAGAGTTATGTCCAGCTCTCCTCTTAAGTGGCTAGTTACAGTCACTCGTAGTTTCTATAATACACCAAATTTGCTCACTTGCTCAAACACTTATTCATTAACCTGTTCAGCAAATATTATTGAGCATCGATTCTGTATTAGGAATCTGGAAAACAGATAATAAGACTAAGTCTCTGTTGGAGGGGAGTACTGGAGGCACCATGTATACAAGACAAGTAGCCCGAATGAGGGGCAGCTGGTGGGAGCCAGTGGGCAGGAAAGATTCCCCAGAGAGCTGATGCCTGAGTTCAGTCTTCAAGTTGGGGAAGCATGCCAAGCAAAGTAAAAAGTAGGAAATAAAGCAAAGTAAACAGTATGAAGGAGCATGGCATGCTTAGGGAATGGGAAGTAATTGCAAATGGCTGGAATACAGGGTAAGGAGAGGAAAGACTGCAGAGGCAGAGAAAGAGTGGGTCATGAACAGCCTTCTATGCCATGCTAAGGAGGTTGTACTTTATTCTGAAGTCCACAGGAGCTAACAAGACTTCACACAATGAAGTGACACGATCAGGTCTATATGTTCGGAAACTTACTCTGGCTACAATGGTGAAGAGAGGTTGCAGGGGATCAAGCAGCAGCAGGAGGAGGATATGGGAAATATGTGTTATTGCCCACTGGAAAATTTTTCTATATCAATCATTAAATCCATTACCTGAATTTGAATAGGCAAGATTGCTCTTATAAAAATACTGGCCTTTATTATAATAACATTATGACTTAACCAATATTTAAAGAGATGGTTAGTTAAAAAATACTTTAAAGAGGAAAATATTTAATGTAGTACTCCAGAGAGTCAATTACTAACAACTAAACCTGGAGTTGCAGACTTATTCTGAATCACTTCACAGAGATTTTCTTGGTTGTCACCTGGGGTTTTAGTTTGAATGCTCAAAGGACTCGTGGCTCATAGATTTCTCACTTCATTTATTCTCCCCATCCTCCTATTTTTGCTCCCTACAACCATTTCTGGCCACTCCAAAGCCCCTAAAACCAAAATTCATTTTGCCATGGCTCTTAGCAGAGTATGAAGTTCTTTCTGTTTCCTGGAGAATAGGAGAGCCCGGCAGCTGACTGGTTCTTTCCTACTGGTGTCAGTCTCTCTCCAGCTTGAAAACGTTGCAACCTCACACCAGTGGGTGACTATTTTGGTCAGCTGTGGAAAAATGAGTTTCTCAGAATCTCTCAGCAACCACCCTGATACAGCTTCCCCTTAAAATACTATTGGAGGTACAAGCTGTCTGCAGGCTTTCCTGATCCACCAATAGGGCTAATAACTTTAGGTTCTCTCTAAACCACTCTCTACTCTTACCATCAACATTAAATTATATCCAGGAAATAGTGTATGGAACAGTCATTATGCACAACTGTTCAGCATTTCCTCAGAGTATGAAACAGTGCTGAGAAATCTGGAAATTCAGACTTGGGTTCGTGTCTGTCTGGTCTGTTCCTCTCTCCAGTGCACTCTCTTGCCTGAAAACACGTGGACACTGAGAAAGGCACTCTAGGAGCCCTCCCTCTAGCACGAGCTATTGTGGTGAAGTCTTGTGAAAAACCCTAATACGAAAGGTCAACTAGAAGGAAAGCAAGGTAGACAAGACTCCCCTAATAAAGTCTCTGACAAGGAGGACAGCATCACTGTGTGCACCTGCTGTTGCTTTCTCCCTGACATTTCAAAGACTATTTCTTTCTTTTTTTTTTTTTTGTGAGGAAGATCAGCCCTGAGCTAACATCAGTGCTAATCCTCCTCTTTTTGCTGAGGAAGACCGGCTCTGAGCTAACATCAAAGACTATTTCTATGGAGAACTTAGCATTTACTTTTCAGTGAGGCAATTACAACTTGAAATGTTTCCAGTGAGAAGTCCAGCTTGATGAGCCTCAGCGCTGGGGAAATGTCCATTCCCTCGGGCATAAAGGCATGAGGCAGTTGAGCAGGAACAATAAACATAGATTACACGGACCCTATACCTACCTTCAGGCATCAAGAGACATTAGTTTTGTGGCATGCACTGCCCAAGGCATGTACTAGGAACCTCGATACAAAGTGACGTCAGCGTTCAAGACAGTCTAACAGTGAGGATTCTAGATTTCCCATATGTTCATCTGACTCTATTTCTCAACCCTTCACGACCAGTAACCATTCAGAGTGGGCTGTATTTCTAAGTGATGGTGGGGTAAGGTCTTTGTTTTGTTTTTTTTTAAAAAGTTCTCCTTCAGGCTATATTCATTGAAAGGCTCTCTATGAAAATCTTGGCTTACAAGTAAAACACGTGGTTATTCTAATGCCTTTACATAGCCCAGCTTAAGATACTTCCTGTTCCCTATGGATTATAAGTCACAGGCAATAGATCTGAACAGAGGACTCTGCACCTGTAACCCTAAATAGGAAACTGAAAAAGTATGGAGTGCGTGGAGGTAGAGGTAGGGGATGGGGGGACAGGTGAAGTAGAAAGAAAGAAAGAACTGGATACCAAAGCATGGTGGTTAAGAGTGTATACTATTAATATGCTGATATGTAAAACTAAATCGCAGCAAATAATACTGAACTGATGAAAACTGAGAATAACGTGCCAGGCTCTGTGCTCAGCTCTGTGCTCACTGAGTCTCTACAACAATACTCTGAAGAAGGTATTTTATCGCTGTTTTATAGAAAAGGAAACTGAGGCTTAGAGAGATTAACTTCCTTAAATTCAAGCAATTAGTGAGTTGTGAAGCTAGGCTATAAATCCAGAGACAACATTCCTAATCAGTACCTTTTACTACTATTGACAATTAACAATTAACAAACCCATGTTATGAAAACACAAAACCTAAAGACTGGGAGGTCTTGAACTGGATATGAAAACTAACCTCGTATGACAATCAGCGACAAGAGCAAACCCACCCAGCTTTACTCAAAGCCCTCTCAAGGTCTCTGTAGTTCTTCTGGGGCGCTGCAGGTCACAGGGGTGACAACTGCTGTGAAAATAATGGAATTGTCACCTAAGAATCTCAGGCTATCAGCAGATGTTTAAATTCAAAGGCTTTTAAGAAAATAAATTATTTCCTGTAGTTCATTTCTCCTTGGCACTTGCTTTGATATGCATAAGAGTTGATAAAAAGTACACATTATTGACATGGAAATTATTCTGTTTCCAAATTGTTGTCATGTTAAATAATCAATTTCTCTATCAAACACAAAATTTAATTTTCTCAATTCTTCTACATTTTGATTTCCCAGGACTGTGCTTTTGCTTTTCCTCATGTGTTTTCTGCAGTAAGGTGGAATTATGGTTACTATAGGCTCTGTGTTCACAGATGTATTTTCCTTTAACTCTTCAGTCTGCCCCTAAGGAGACATGTCCCCCCTAAAATGATCCTGCAAATTGCTGCAGCTTTCCACCATAGAGAAGCCACATTTGTCTTTTCTCATGTAGGTTTTTTTTTTTTTTTTTTTTAATCTCTTTTGGCTGCTGAAACTGATAGATTCACAGCAATTCCACCAAAAATGACTCTAAAGCTATCTCCCACCAGGCACTGGCTAAGTGGTTGAAATTCTGAAGTAAGACAGCTCTGTCCTGCAGAAGCTCCCAGACTAGGGAAAAACACAGGCATGTACCAACTGGCCCTTAAACACAACAGGCAGAGAGAGGTATGAACAAAATACTGTAGGAGCCCAACGTAGGAAAACCCAACT